AATTTTATTTCAGCTCAACTCAACTCACATAAACTATCCTTAATTTTAGCGGTTGAATTTCAACCGCTGGGCGAACACTAGTTATAATAATAATGCCAATTAAAAACGGGCTGTATAAAGAATACCAGCCAGTTTCCACTTCGTGTTAAATGAATTATGCCTTTATTTTTGTTTTCTAACTGATGCATAGAGGAGTATTTGCATAGTAAAAGCTGTCAAAATTATTTTATGTGTTTTTCTACTCAGTAATTAAATAAAACATGAAACTTAATCATAATGAGGGATTTATAGTATAAAAATTACTAATTCCACTTATTTTAGGATCACTTTCGTGAAATATTTAGTTAAATTCAGTTATCATAAGTCCACAAAAACCTTTTCAGAAAAATACAAGAACAAAATTTGGTTTGCTAGGACATAATCAGATCGACGAGTTCGGTTATGCACTTCGTCCTTTTAGACCGGCTCTTGATTGCGAATTGTGCAAAAATCTTCTTTACTAAAGTTTTGATGCTTTTTCAATTTCAATTAAATAAATAAATAAATAGGCTGATTAGAGAGCAACATTGTCCAGTTTCATAGTCCTTCAAAGGATCTTCCGAGGACTTTAAAATTTAAGGGTATGCAACTCAGTAAATTTGGGAACAAGTTTCGATTAAAGCTATTGACTTTCGAATGCACTTTTCGGCATTCGTTTTCTTTTATTTTTAAGATATTTTTACAGATGAAGAAAAAAAGTAGGCAAAAAACTAGCGATGGATCTGGGTTCTCATAGATCTTTGACAAATGGTATTCCATCGTTACGTAATTTTTACCAAATTAAAGGTCAAACTTATACCTATTAACAAAGCGTCTCTCCTTATAAGGCAGGCTTTAAACGCGTATAAAATTTTTTACGCAGCAACGATTCCTCTAAGCGTCAAGATCTGCATACGAAGCAACTTCAAAGCGTCATAGTATCAGGCGCAAAAAGTGTTAAGTGATGAAAAATTATTATATTTTAGTTAATTTTCAGTTATTTTTCAATTATTTGCACGAATTTTAAGGGCTAACTATAATATGAATAAGCTGCCGTAACTGACTGTCAGAAAATGAACGAAAAGTCTGTCAAATGCATAAGCAACGTAGTGTAGACTTTTAGGTGGCTATATTTTACTTACATGAGTTCAGTGTTGCCACATTTATTTAGATATAACAATAGCCACTATCAAGCAATTTGTTGTAGATCACACAATTATAGTAACCTAGAAATGCCGAAGAACTGTTCGTCTTGCGAAACTTCCAGGATAACCTGGTGTTTCTGTAAACGGAAACGCTTACGGCCCACTTCCTAATTTGGAACCAGAACTTCTTTTGACCTGTGTTACATGTAAGACTGAATCGAAAAAGTTACCAAGTTGAAAAATAAATTACCAAATATGATAAGTAAAGAAAAAAATACCAATTTCGGTAAAAACAACTCCAATGCGGCAACACTGCATGTGTTACATATGTACATACATACATATGAGGCCAAACAGCTGATTCCGTACGGAAGGTGCGATCAGTGTCGCTCTTTCCTTAAGCAAATGACGTTTGGCGAAACTTGACGAAACTTGATGTTAATCACATTATAGTTTCAGCATAGGATTTATGTGTATTCGCACGTTTGCATACGCTTGCTTATTCTTATTATAGTTAGCCCTTTATTGTTTTATCTGTTATTTTTTTTATTAAATGCATGCACGCACACGGAAAATTTTAAATAAACTTCTTTAGGTATTGGCCCAATGCACGCTTGCTTTGCTTGCTTTGCTTACTTTAGTTTGCTTTGCTTTACTTTGAAGGCTTTTATGGCCTAATGGTAGCTTTGAACGCTGTCATAGTAGTCAGCTGATTTTCAATGCGCGCAAATATACCCGCCATTCTTTGTTGTGCCAGCAAGTATAATTGTGAATTTTAGTTAAAATATATGTTATTAAACAATTATTTGTTACTAAGAACATTATTTTTTACAGATACCTTGCTTTTTTATCGTTCCGGTTTTGGTGAAGCTGCATTTGGCTGCGCCACTCACCACCCGTGTTTATAAGACGTAATATTCAATTGGAGGTAAAAGAGTTTATATTAAACAATTATTTGTTGCTAACAACATTATTTTTTTTCATACCTTGCTTTTTATCGTTCCGGCCACCAGATTCGTTGGTTTTCATAAAGTTTCATTTGGCAGTACAAAATGTTGACTCGAAATGCTGAACAAGTTTTGTGAATTTTCCTAATTTTAGCGAAAATGCGTAAATTAAAACTGCGATTAAAACAGAAGCGCCGATTTTGGGTTCGGAAATTGTACTTAGAGCGACACTAATATGGATTGTTTGAAAGTTCATTAAGAAACTTGGCTGCAGATGAGGAGCAGTTTAACAAGACATTAAGAATGCCCTTTTCGTTATTTAATGTGCTGCACGAATTTCTGGAGGCTTCGCTGACCAAATATTCAATCAGAACACCAATATCGAGCCGCTGCAGACTATTTATAACCCTGATGTAAGAGAAAATCGGTTTTACTTAATAGTATACGTATAATTTTCCATATATGTATCTGGTTTTATTTTTTTGTTGCAGATATTTGGCTCACGGTGGCACTCGGCAATTCCACACAATAGTTCACAGGATCGGCCTGTCTTCTTTCAGGAAGATTACGTTGGAGACATGTATGACCATATGGGATCTGTTAGCTGACCTGTATGTGGCGACCCCGTCAGAAACGGAATGGGGACGTATTTCCAATGAGTTCAAGTCGCTGTGGAATATGCCCAACTGCGTTGGTTCCATCGACGGAAAGCACATTAATATTACCTGTCCAGCGAATTCAGGGTCGATGTACTATAATTACAAAGGCAATTATAGTATCGTGCTTTTGGCCGTATGTGATGCCAATTATACCTTTACCTGCGTTGACATCGGAGCATATGGAAGTCAAAGCGATGGCGGTGTCTACCACTTTTCAAAACTGGCAGATGCTATTGAAAATGATAGGCTCGGCCTTCCACATGATCAGCCTCTGCCAGGAGAAACCGAGCCATTTCCACATTATTTAGTAGGAGATGCTGCTTTTCCCTTACGGCGTTATTTAATGCGACCATATCCGGGTAGAGGTATTCCAGAAGAGCAAGAGTATTTCAATAAAAGACTCTCTCGTGCAAGAAGAGTTATAGAAAACGCATTTGGAATACTCACTGCCAAATGGAGAATATTGAGAACGACGCTATGCATGGCCCCGAAAAATGCAGAACAAATAGTGAAAGCTTGTATTGTCTTGCATAATTTTATTAAGCTTTCGTGTGCAAACTATGTAGCAAGCGATTTTGTTGATCGCTACGAAGAGGATGCCACCATCGCTGGCTCATGGCGAAACGAAGTAGTTCCATTGCCCTCAATAAGTAGGGTGTCATCGAACCGAGGCAGTTCAAATAATTATGATTTAAGGGATGCTCTGAAGACACATCTTTTTAACAATAAAATTTAAATAATTACTACTCACTGAATATGCTTTGTTTTTATTATTTAAGATAGAAAACAAAAATTTGAACTCACAGTATGAGGGCACTTATTGGTAATGTTTTAAATGTCGTCACATCTTTCAGGTTTTTAAATTAATTTTTGTTCAAGGTAAGTATGGCGTTAACATAACATATATTTCATTCAGTCTTTTAAGTTAAAATAAATTCAATTTTTATAATTTTTATATTGAGCATAGACGTATTGAAGTACGTCCATGTGAAAATTTAGGCGGCTCTCTTCTGGGACCTTCTCAAACACTTCGCCAATCGCACCCAAGAAATTGTTGTGTGTTTTTTTTTGACTATCCACAAACTGACTTACTTCGTTGACTAGATCGTTAAAGGCGGCGTTCTCATCGTTTTTTTTCTTTTGTCTCTTAGCCGGCGTTGGGGCAGTGGTTTCTTGCTCTTCTATTATAATGTTCCCACTCTCGCCTATTTGGAATCCAAAGGAAGTATCCAGTATATCTGGTTCTTGTCCGAGAACTTCTGGCGTTTGGGAGACGATGTTTGTTGTTGTCCTTAAAATATGTACATATAAATTACAATTTAAAATATAAATACTTGTTGTACAAATGTAAAGTACACTTACTGTCTGGGCGTGACCGTGTCTTTCAAAAACAACATAGCTTCGTCGTAATAATAATAATAATAAACACGGGTGGAAGTGGCACAGGCAAATGAAACTTTATGAAAACCAACGAATCTGGTGGCCGGAACGATAAAAAGCAAGGTATCTGAAAAAATAATGTTGTTAGCAACAAATAATTGTTTAATATAAATTATTTTACCTAAAATTGATGAAGAACGCGATAAAAACTGCACACAAGCAAAATCGACGCGAAAAATTGAAATGTCAAGAGTTGTCAAAAGCCTACAACGCGCTGTCAAATAGAGATTTCGGCTAATCGATACTTTAAAGCGCTTCAAGCAAGTGAAGTAAAGCTGCCACTAGGCCAACTTTCATACGTTTTAGTAGATTTTAAAAATTGTTTGACATTTCTCAAAGCCAAGCAAGCAAAGCAAGCGTGCATTGGGCCAATACCTTTACTCTTTTCTAAGCGTACGTACGCCTAGCTACCAACACTGCTGTACGCCGAGCGATTTGCAGCTAGCTTTCTTTGACGAATTCGTGAAGCTGACGACTCGTATACAGCCCTCCATTTAAATGCACGTGTGCGGCATCAAAGCGTACAACTTTCGTATGTAGCATCTAATACGCGTCTAAAGCCATACGACCCATGTGCAGACTGCCTATGCATTGAACATTTCTGTAAATAAAATCCAAAATTACAATTTTACGACTAATCGTGTTTCGTCCTTTGAAAATCAATATGGAGCACATGCGAGCAAATTATTTTTGCTTTAATTGATCCAAGGTGACTGTAGTTACATATATTTCAATGAACCAAACCTTGACAAGTAAACAAAAATAACAATATTTAAAAATATTATTCAACAAAAAATATGAAAATAGACTGATTTTAAATTTTCTAAACTAATGCCATATTAAAAGCAATTTACTTAAATTTAGTCTTAAATGATAGAAATGGCTTTCTTATTATACGTTTAAAAGGTATTTTCTTGAAATACGTCTTCACTAAAACACAATTACCGAAGAAACAAGTAGAACGACTGAAAGCGGGGAGAACAAAAACTATCACAACATTGACTCTTTTCAGGTTGACATATGTCAAAGGAAAAGCATCGGAGGGAGCTTTCATGGCTACCATTCAACAGCTAAGTTATTTTAGCTTTAGGAATAAATACATAGTATCTTTTATTGGACCTTTGTAACAATTGGTATTTCTGACTTTTGACCGGTTTTTCTGCATAAATACTTCTATGTGCGATGTGTGAAATAAAAATCCAATGGAAACATTTTGGTCCAACATTTTCACCAACAGTTCAAGTTCAGGATTTTCAGTGACGCATTTATCTTCTAATAATACGGTTTGGTGGTTGTCAGAAGGCATCTTTCCGTTGCCATCTTAAATAACCTAGCAAACGTGTATACGCATACAAAGATACGTAATAGTTTCAGAGCGTCTGAAAGGCGCCATGCCCCGTTTTCAAATAACTCCAAGTTTCCCTAAGAGTATCGGATTGATTTCATATATTTCAATACCATGGTAGAGTACTCTACCGTGAACACGTCCGGAGATACGCAGTATGAAATATTCGGTTTGTACGGGAAGTGCCACGCCCCTTTTTCCAATAGCCCCAATTTTTCTTCATTACTATGCGATTGATTTTATATATCTTGTACATACCAAGTTCCAGTACTCTACCATGAACACTTCCAGAGATATGCAGTGTGAAAAATTCGGATGCTCCTTTTCGAATAGCCCCAATTTTTCTTCATGACTGCGATCTTGTACATACTAAGTTCCAGTACTCTACCATGAACAGAGATATGCAGTATGAAAAATCCGGTTTATATGAGAGGTGCCACAACTTTTCTCCAATAGCCCCAATTTTTCTTAAAGACTATGCGATTGATTTTATATAACTCTATACAAAGTTCCAGTACTCTATCATGAACACTTCCAAAGATATTCAATGTGAGAAATTCGGTTTGTATGGGAGGTGCCTCGCCTTTTTCCAATGGCCCCAATTTTTTTTTTCATGACTGCAATCTTGTACATGCCAAGTTCCAGTACTCTACCATGAACACTTCCAGAGATATGCAGTATGAAAAACTCGGTTTGTATGGGAGGTGCCACGCCCCCTTTTCCAATAACCGCATTTTTTCCAGATGAGTATGCGATTGTTTTCCTATATCTCCATACCATGTCCGAGTACTCTGCCAGGAACACTTCCAGAGATATGCAGTATGAAATATTCGATTTGTATGGGAGGTGCCACGCCCCCTTTTCCGATAACCACAATTTTTCTACATGAGCGCGTGATTGCTTTCATATGTATATCTCCATACCAAGTTCCAGTACTCTACCATGAACACTTCCAGAGATATGCTGTATGAAAAATTCGGTTTGTATGGGAGGTACCACGCCCCCTTTTCCAATAACCAGATTTTTTTTACGTGAGTATGCGACTGTTTTCATATATCGCCATACCATGTTCGAGTACTCTACCAAGAATACTTCCAGAGATATGCAGTATGAAAAATTATATTTGTATGAGAGGTGCCCTTTCCCAATAACCACAATTTTTCTCCGTGAGTATACAACTGTTTTCATGTATCTCCATACCATGTTCGAATACTCAACCATGAAAACTTCCAGAAATATGCAGTATGAAAAATTCGATTTGTATGGGAGGCGCCATGCCGCCTTTTCCAATAACCACAATTTTTCTCCGTGAGTATGCGACTATTTTCATATATCTCCATACCATGTTCGAGTACTCTACCATGAACACATCCAGAGATATGCAATATGAAAAATTCGGTTTGTATTGGAGGTGCCAAGCCCCCTGCATCTAGCGGTATGAAATATACTTTACATCCGATTCTCATTCCTGCCATATATACACAACAACTTTCATAACGATCGGTCGAGCCGTTTAGAAGGAGTTTAACCACAAACACCGTGACACGAGATTTATATATGGCACGCCGTCTTCAAAAGAGTCACAACTCAAAATTTGGCATTGTTGAAATTATGCGCTAAAAATGTAGACAGACCTTTTAGTTACCTTTCAGCAAAAGCTGGAGCAAATTTTTGTTATAACTTGTTAATAAAAACCTAAGGTAAAGTCGTCCTTGCCCATATGATTAACATGTGCTACGAAATAGTTTTTCGCATTTTCTGACGAACGAATTATTTTCAGTTGTGACTCTTTTGAAGACGGCGTGCGATATATTAGATTGTACTATTTTAAGGTATGCAAAAATACTATATTTCTTCAGTTATCTTATAAATAAATAGGCAATCATGTTTCCTTTAGACTCCTTTTACGGCTAAACGATACTTCTTAGGTATAAACAATTATATATCGTTAGAAAGTTATTTTGATGCGGATGTGCAGACAATCTCTAAAATTTCAAATTTAACATAAAGCGAAAAAATCAATTCGAAAGTGACACCAACACCAATAGACCAAGAGCTCATGACCAAAAAACCCAAAATACTTCAGATCGATTGAAATTTTTTGTGAGCTTAGCTTGTTAATATATAAAACGAGGTCCGCAAGGCTGGCTGCTGAACAGCCAAGCGTTTAAGCTATCAAAGATGTCAATAACAACAGATTACTCAACATGCTTCAGATGACTGGAAATTTTGATAGAATTTTATTTACAGTATATGGATAATTAATTGAAGTTTGCCTGCCTATTCATATGGTCTTAAAGCAGTGCCAGACCATGTTGAAAGTGCATTGTTGCAGCTATAAGTCAACATACTTCAGATTGCATTGCTGCAAGTATAAGTGATAGAAAACACTTGGATATTACCTCCCTATTTTGAAAGCTTACTTTGAGAGGATTTTAGGGTCATCAAAATTTTCGTCCTTGGCCATATTCAAGTCTCTCTAATATTTCATAATTACTAACATATTTTTACCCTTTTTAGGAAAAAAAATTATCGCTTACTAAAGTTTTAATTTAATGAGGAGTAAAGTTGTGTTTAACTGGGGACAAATTGAGTTATTTTAACTTAGTAGGTTAAGGAGATATACTAGGCTAAAAGGATCTTAGCAAGATATACATCACCCAAAATTATCTGTTTATCGAACTGTTGGCTGTTTTATGACTCACCAAGGAAGAAAATTTTATGACTATAAAATCCTCTCAAAGAAAGCTTTCAAACTAGGGAGGTAATTGCAAAGTGTTTTCAAACACTTATACATGCAGCAATGCAGTTTGAAGTATGTTGACTTATAGTTGCAACAATACACTTTCAACATGGTCTGGCAGTACTTTAAGACCATAAGAATGGGCAGGAAAACTTGAATTAATTTACTGTAAATAAAATTCTATCAAAATTTCAAGTCATCTGAAGTATGTTGAGTAATCTGTTTTTATTGACATCTTCAATAGCTAAAAACGCATAATCAAGACCGCTGTTCAGTAGCCAGCCCTCCGGATCTCGATTTACATATATACTAGCTTATACCCGCGGGTTTTACCCCGCGCTTTTATACAAATAGGAAAAATAATTTAATGATGTTAGATTTTATTTCTGTGCTCATTTCGTTATAGCTCGTTATTTTTTAAGCGAGTTAAGGTATTTAGG